TTTTTTTTTTCTTCCAGAGTCATTTTTAAGAGCAGCATTAAATCATTTGAAATACAACAAAATTAAGGAGTAAAAAAATTTAATACTAAACTGGGTATTTGCGATAGTTAAAGCAATGCGCAGTTCCTGCACTGCAGGTAATTGTCTCTTGCCTTTGATTTAGGTCATCAAACTAGCCTTTGAGGAGTTTGAGCTGGAACGAGGCTATGACACCCTTACAGTGGGCGACGCTGGCAAAGTGGGTGACACCAGGACCGTCTTGTATGTGTAAGTACATGAGTCGGCATTTTTTCTCTTCCAGCACACACAGTTGTCTGACCACACATGTCACATACTTGAAGTCCTGGTACAAACTTCCTTTATAGCTAATTGCATGGTGTCCAAATCTGAGTTCACACGAGACCTAGTTCAGGGTTGTGTTTTGTCTATCAATACTTCCCAGATCATTAAAAGAATATATGGCAAAAAATTAGACTACACAGAGACAGAGGGTAGAAGTGGTGAGTTTCTCATGCAGCCCCTCCCTGTAGAATACAGGTATTTTCTAGAATCATGCCACATATCTTCCCAAAGCCCTTGCATTCTGTAAAAGCATGTGCTAAGTCACAGAACTGTGGGAGGTAGCTCTGGATTTTTGTGGACTGTGTCCAGGGCTGGTGAGTACATAGCAGCCTTGGTGCGGAAACCAACCCGCTGGCCCCTGGGGTGCATTGGCAGCTGGGCATCCAAGCCACTTCAGATGTGGGGCCTAGAGGGCAGCTTTGTCACTTTTGTGAGGACTGTTCTATCAGAATTTGTAATGTGACCTAGTAATGTCCTTGCTCATCCATGTTTCAATGCGGAGGGAAATGTCTTCAGCATCTTCATCTGCTTCAGCATCTTGTACAGTTAGCCTAATGCCGTGTCTGCCAGACTGCCAAGCTGAGAACATCTTTCATCATGGAAGTCCTTCTGTCGAGTTGCGCTGCTTTTCCAGCCTACCTGTACAGTGCCGAGCTGGCTCTTTGTGAAAAAGCTGGCCCCTGATAACTTCAACTTATATCCTGCTAGCAGAACCCGTCCTGGCTGTTATACTCACTCATTCTGTATTTAGCAGTTGCTTGTGAGGTAATTCACAGTTTTAGAAGGTACCGTAGCTGGACATGCTGTCCATGCCTCGGCAGATGAGGGCGCCTGGACTCTGGCTCTGCTGGGAGCATGCTCTTTCTACTTGTATCTCAGGCATTTTTCCCTGCCATGCATGTCTTTATCTCACTGCTACTACCAATAAGAATTAATCATGCTACTGGGCCACAACTTATAATAATACTTATAATTATAGCACTAGTAATGTCATAGCTGGTATTCATTCCTGTCTCTTACATTTATGCACTGTGCTAAATGCCGTGTACGTATCACCTTATTTGGGCCTCACCACAGTCCTGAGCATTAGGGTTAATAGCAACCTCGTCTTATCAGTAATGAAACTGAGGCCTAGGAAGGGGAAAGGACTAACCTAACTCACAAGCACAGGATATGTTGGGTATACGTATACTACTGCATGTTGGGGACATATGTGCTATACATGCTGGGGACGCACACGCTGGTACATGCTGGGGACACAAATGCTGGTACATGCTAGGGACACACACTGGTACATGTTAGGGACACATGCTGGTACATGTTGGGATCACATACAGCGTACATGTTAGGAGCACATACATTCATGCACGTTGGGAACAGGTATCCTAGCACACATTTGGTGCATGCAAACTCTCCAGCCCAGAAGACTGTCATGTCTGTGCTCCTTATCATTACATGTGGATGCACCATGATTTTTTTAACTAAGTCTCCAGCCCAGAAGACTGTCATGTCTGTGCTCCTTATTATTACATGTGGATGCACCATGATTTTTTTAACTAAGTCTCATTGACAGTCTCTTTCTATCCCCTTCCCATCCCATTCTTTGCAGTTATAAGCAATTCTGTACAAATACATTGTTGTACATGTGTTATATGCCTTCAAGAAAATTCTGTTGAGCAATTTCATGGGTAAGGGGAATATTCATTACATTATTATCCTTTCCCCAAACCCCCCTAGAGGTTTCTATCAATTTCCCCTTCTACACTCTATGAAGGTCCTTATTTCCCCACACCCTCACCAAATAGTTACTCGTTTTTTGCCAAATTACTGGGCAAAACTTCACTTATTTTTACAAATACAGATTGCTGCAGGCAGGCATTTGCAGGGTATCATTTACAAGCTCCCATGTTGACTGTGTGCTCACAGCCTGGCATTGGTCTGGAGCAATATTTGTAAACATGACTGCACTGGGCAGAAATGGTTCAGGAGGCAAAAGGGGAAGTTTCTGGCTGTAGCTTTGCTGTTAATTGTCTCTGTGCCTCTGAGGGAAGTCACTTTACCTCTCTGTACCTCTGTTTTCATAGCTATAAAATATGTATGATAAATGTTTCTTGCCTGTGGTAAGAAGCAAAACTAAATGATGCTGGTGCTGAGAGCTGAGAAATGTAACCTACAAGCCAAGTAGCTTTATTATTACCATAATGTCTAATTTAAGAAAGGATGTCACTAAGGCAAATGAAAGAACATTTTAAGTAAATGTAAAATATAAAATATAAATGGAGCAAAGTAATGCCATGTAAAATCCCTTAGGTCTCTATTAAAGATCTCAAGTTGTACACCCATTTTTTAATGCTATTTGTCGTTAAAAGAGCAATAGCAAACTATGTAACATGTTGACGTAAGTGTCATTAGAACTTCCTCTTCTTAGCTCAGATCTATAAATGAAAAACTAAATAGCCAACTGACTCAAACTGAGATGCCCTTTGGGAAGCGCAATGTAGCCAAGATCAGTTGGGCATTTAATCAGCTGCAGTATAGGAAAGAGAAGCTACTGATGTACTTCCTAGGACATAATACAGAAAAAGAAAGGAAACAGAAACACAGCCAGTGTCTTCAAACAGCTCATTTTAGAGAATATTCAGCAAATATTTTTGAGTACATCTGTGCCAGACATTATTATCAGTGTGGGGCCTAAAATGGAATTGGAGAAACGATAGGTACATGGAGAGTTATAATGCCAGACTGTGGGTAGGGCCATTGAACCTCATGGCACACATTTCATACAACATGGAGTTAAGAAACTTCTTTTTGAGAGACTGGTTTTTACTACCTCTGGCTCAATATTTTGTAGGTTCCCTTTTTGAGATTTGGAATTCTAGTCTTGGATTTTAAGGAAAAATTTGGAAAGTGAGCCTAGCTGGCTCATCCTAAATATGGTTTTAAAATTTTTGATTTCTGTTAATAGCTTTTTAGTTTCTTTACTTTCTTGGTGGCAAAAGAAGTGGTAGGGGATTCTTTTACTAGTCTAAGCTTCCCAAAAGATGAGTGAATTTACCCAGGTTATGTTTGCAGAATGACAGGCTTAAAACAAAGTTATTTACTTTACGAATCTCTGTTGAGCTCTTTCCAAGAATATATATTGATAATTTTCTCAAATTTGATTTGTGGAAGAGCTGTATCTGAAGATGTCACCCTTTGTGGCTTCCCTCTGGCCGTAGTGGTTATTAGCAGTTGGTGGCTGGGAGACTGCATGAAATCAGATGTCCTGGGGATCACAGGCACAGGTCACACACTTGGAAGGTGCATCTCTCTCAGGAGATGAAGAGCTGGTGTCAGGAATCTGTGTTTGCTGTATATGTTGCCCCGGTCCTTGTGCTGTGTGACTCTGACACCCTCCTCCCACCACTGCAAGTCCTGGCGGCCAAAGGGCAGCACCGTCTTTCTATTGAAAGATTGTAGAACAGCCTTAAAAAAGCAAACACTAAAGCTGATGTTTCCATGCTTCTGTCTTTGATACTATCAGAGGAGTCAGTCACTGTATACCTCCGTGCTTTGGAGAAAGGCTTGAGCAGTTTATTTGACAAGTAGCACATAAAGATAGCCATGTAAATGCTCTTCAGATCAAAATGCATTTTTGACAGTAAAAATCAAGTATACTCCCCAGGTTCCTGAAGCTCTCGAGTCACATGCTCAGAGCTGTTTTTCTTCACATTGTTCTCATAATGGTTTGTGCACAAGCTGGACACATGTGGTAGACTCGAGTGATCCAGATCTGTTCTCCACTTAAACCTTATCCAATGTTAGCTTCCCTTTCTCTGCCTCTGTATCTGGAAGCTTTCTTGCTTGATTCTTTGAAAAGTATTGAAATTCAGACATCGCAGTAGGACTCAGAAAAGGGTAACCATGAGGACTGGGAAGTGGCCAGTAGGTGGAGAAGGCAGGGCTGCCAGCCCTCATTACAGTGCTGGGCCCTCACACAGGTGGGCCCCTCTTTGGAAACTGCACAGTGGCTAGGCTCTGCTCCAACGGCCCAGGGAGACAGACCCCAGGGGCACCAGCCATCTCAGGACTCTCTGGGAAAGCAAGCTGACCCGGGACCCTGGGGCTGCAGGATGTTGCTGTCGGGGGACGTACACCCTGCCTGCAGAGGAGAAGACATAGGCCCCATGGGAAGCGTGGCCCAACTGCAGCAGCTGCCGCGTGGGATACAGACAAGCTGAGGTGTTTCCCAGCTGCTTTGCCCGGTACCGCAGCACCACTGACTCACTGCCACTGTGTTCTCAAGGACCCGTGCCTCTCTTTGTACCTGAAGGGCAAGGATTACTTTTCTATGATTCATCAGTCATTGAGTTTGTATCATATGTTTTTGACATTAACCTTAATGGTAAAATTAATTCTCCTTTAATGCTATAAGTACGTTTTGGGTTTTTTGTTCTGTTTTTGTCAGGATTCCATCATTATTTATTTCTAGTGTCTTTAAATTTATCTATAGAGTTTTCAAAGCAGTTACTCTGGGTGTTAAAACATGCACGTGTAGCTTTGAACAGTCTACGGATGCGTGGCTCTCCTGCTGTCACTGTAGCCAGCTGTGACAGACTTGGTGGCTTAAAACCACAGAAGTTTGTAGTGTCATGGTACTGGGAGCCAGAAACACAACATCGGTTTCACTGGGCCAAAATCAAGCTGCAGCAGAAGCTCTCAGGGAGAGCGTGTCTCTGGGTTCTTCTGGCTTTGAATTGGTGCTGTCTTTTCTTGGCTCATGGCTCCATCACATCAGTCCCTGTCTTCAAGCTCACATTGTTGGCTTCTGTCCGAATCTCCCTCTGCCTCCCTCTTAAAAGGACATTGGCAGTGGCACTTAGGCCCATCTAGGTAATCCAGTGCAATCTCCCCACCTGTAGATGCTTAATCCAGACATATTTGTAACATCGTTGCCAGACAAAGTAACATTCACAGGCATCAGGGATCTGCACACAGACTTTTGTATGGCCATTATTTGTCCTACAACCACTAGTATCAACACTGACCAGTTCGAATGAACTGTAGAAACCTCACTTCCATTTAGCCCCCCAAATTTCAAATACCATTCTCGTGAGTATCAGAGGATGTTATAGTTTTTGTTCAGCCATCACATACAGTATGTGGAACTCACTAGGAAAGATTAATGTGCTTCACAATCCACATTTCTGCCTGGTCCTTTGCTCCTCGCTCCTTCCTGATGCTCCACATCTCTCCTGTTAGTTTTTCTTTTCATTTTGAAGAACTTCCTTCAACAAATCCCTAAGGGTAGGTTTCCTAGCAATAGGCTCCTTGTCCGAGAATTTGTTTTCTCAGTTCTGAGTAGTCCATTCACTGGATATAGAATTCATGGTTGACAGCTCTTCTCTTTGGAAACCGGAAACATTTTGTGACACTTCCTTCTGCCATCAGGAAATCCGCCGGCGTCCCTGCCGGTCGATTCTTTGTCTCTGGTTGCAAAAGTCTAAGTCTTAGCATGGATTCGTTTGGGTTTATTCTGTTTAAGGTTCACTGTGTTTCTTAGAACTGTAGGTTTATGGATTTCATCAAATTTGGGGAGTTTTCAGCAATTATTTCCTCAAATGCCCTTTTGGCTCCACTGCCTTTCTCTTCTCCTTCTGGGACTCTGACAACTTTGTCTTAAATGAGGTAATGCAGGGTTCTAGAAAGACCTAGAGAAAAACATCCTCACGGCACTTAAGGGAGTTAAGAGATGCCTGGTCAGAACCTTCAGAGTCTCTGACAGCTTTCAGTTGTCCAGAAAGAATGGGCCATCTAGGCAGTGATTTTAATGCTTGCCAGTTTTTGGAGTGTTTTTGGAGGATGGCTAAAAAGGCCAGCATGATTGGAACACAAGGTGCATGGGACAGTTGGGAGTTCCAACACAAAGGGAGAAGGCCATAGAAAGCTGGCTCCCCAGATAAGACAGCCTCTCTCCCAAAAGAAAGAAGCAAAGAAACCAAGCAGAAATCTGCTGTTAATGGTTTATGAAGCTAAGCCAAACCCTGGGGATTTTCACAGTGGTAAAGAGACAGAGATAGGTATCCAGGACCTGTTTTTCCAAAGAGGAGATTTACTTATAAATGCCATATTTTCTGGGTTGTGGTATAAGAAGCAGTGAGCCCTGGAAACCAGCACCTCTGATTGCAGCCTTAAATCTTCGTGACGAACAGAGCAGGGGGGCCACTTTGGTAGCTATAAGGGTAGTCACCCCAGAAGGCAGGCAGCACACGGAGCTGCTTCAGTGGTTTATGGACAAAGTCTGTCATTCAATCAAAAGTGACCTGGAATGTCCAGAAAGCACCCAGTGCTCAAACCAAAAAAATGGACAATAGGAAAAGAACAAGATATCCAGAAATTGCAGTTTTCACACAGGGACTTTGATAATCAACTATGACCCATGTGATTAAGAAAATAAATTAAATGATGAAGAATTGTGCCAGAAAACTGTAATCTGTGACAACAAATCCATTTGACATGTAAGCATTGCAAAATACAATATCTGCTATAATTAACTCAATATATATGAGTTGAACAATAAGATAATTTAGTGGAAAATATTCAAACTGGATCAGGAAAAAATTTTTTTTTTTGTGTGTGTGTGTGTGTGCACGTGCACAAATAATTGGAGTTCCAGAAGAACGAAAGAGAAAAAATGGGGCATAATATTTAGAGACATGATCACCAAGAATTTTCCAATATTGACGGAAGACATCAAGAGAGAGATTCAAGAAATTCTTCAAGCCAGTAAGGAAAATCCAGGAAAACCTCAGCCTGGCACATTATAATAAATCTGCTGAGAAACAGAGCATGGAAAGATCTCAGAACCAGCATGAACAAGGAAATGGCATTTCCACAAGATCAAGTGTAAGATTGATGGAAAGCCTCTCAATATAAGCAAAAGAAGTGAGAAGACAACAGAATAGCATCTTTGAAGTGCCGGGTAAAAGAAATAAGCTATTAGGTAAAAGGAATAATTACAAAATAATTGGCTAGTCAAAAGGGAAGAACAGGAAAAAGTGAACTTTGTCATTAACTACATTCTAAATAAAAGGCAAAACTCTCCAATTAAAAAGTTATATAAATAAAATTAATTAGAATCATAGAATATAATTATGTGATGTTTACAAGAGACAAACATGACATAAACAAACACAGAATTGTTGAAAGTAAAAGATTGGAAAAAGCTTCCGTGAAGGTAAGAAAAATATTGTTACAGCTCTATAGTCATGACTCAGAGCAGCCGTCAGTGCTAGACGTTCATGACCTCTGCACTTTTTGGTGCTGTAAAATGCATGCACAGGGGTGAAAAGGTCTCTTCAAGTCACACAAGCAAATACAACGACCACTCATGAAAGAACAATCTTTCCAACAAAGAAAAATGTTCGAGAAGAGATGTATTTAGTCTCTGCCCATCACTCTGCGAAACAGCTGCCCTCTGCAGTCTGAGTCCCCTGCATGATCACCTCACGTGCAGTGGCTGCCGTCCGCCCTCCCCGGAAGAGCCGGTGCTCCATGGTCCCGCTGAGGAGCTGACCGAGGGGCCGCACCACGAGCTCATACTTCGCTGAAAGCAAAGCTTCCTATTTGATTAGAGACATTTGGGTTGAATTGATTTTTTTTCTTCCCCTTTTTCTGCTTCAACATGCTTTTCTGTCAGCATGTTGAGTTCAGTCAGTGGATTCAATGTTTCTTTTAACTGACAGTGGCCATTATGTGACTGCTTTATTAATACACAACGAATGTTTCATTGAAACTTCCATTTGGTGCCTCTTGAACATTAATATGTGCAAGGAAACTTCAGTGAACTTGGCAAATCCATTTTAGCTATGCATGCTGTTATTGTCACTGTTCTTCTAATTTGTCACCTTCGGTTTTATATATATAAATATTTTTAGTACAGTTTTAGGTTTATAGCCAATTAAAGGGAAGGTACAGAAGGAAAGTCCTAGATCTGTGTCACCTATGCATGACATTCTTGTCTCTTAACGAATGGTTATGTTGGGTGTATATACATACATGCATATGTGTTTCCATATGCCCTCTGCCCCTGCCACATGCACATCCCCCACTACCCAAGTCCCCCACCAGATGGTGTGTTTGTTAGGATTGAGAAACCTGCATGGACATGTCACTGTCAGCCAGAGCCCACAGTCTACCTTCCGGTCACTTGGTGATGCACTTTCTGTGGTTTGGAAAGATGTGTGATCATGTGGATCCACCACTGTAGTGTTGTTTAAAAACAAAAATCAACCGAGTAAATTTGAAGACCTGTGTGGTTTTATTAATCTATCCACGTCAGGCAGCGTCCCCTGCAGCGAGTAGGGACATGTCGGGAGCTGGCGGGGTGTGCAGGAAGGAGCTGGAGGAGGCTCACGAGCTGAAGTGAGGGGGTTGCCGCAGGCCGGGCCACAGCCCTGGGGGATGCAAGGCATCTCCTGGCCCAGGCACCTCATGTCACCCGCATGGGAGGAGGAACCCTGTGGCACGCTCCCCACTGGTGCTGCCAAACCATTCCGACCACCGCATGAGGCTGCCCTTCTGGGGAGCCTAGGCATCGGGCCCGGTTTGGTGGCCTGGCCCACACAGGCGGGTTGCTCTTGGGCCTGTGGCTTTCTTTACAGGCTCGCAGAGCAGTGTCACTGCCCTAAGAATTCTAGCTCTTCCTATTCATCCCTCCCTCCCACTAATCCACGGCAACCCCTGACTCACTGTCCCCACAGTCATGCCCCAGAGTCAGAGTCTCATGGCCTGTGGCTTCTTGAGGCTGCTTTCACTCAGTGATGTGCATTCAAGGCTCCTTCATATCTGTTCAGGGCTCGATAGCTCATTTCATTGTAGCCCTGAATAACACTTCATCCTGTGATATATTTTTTAAATGAGCTTTTGTGGTGAAGGTGCATGATAATTCCAGACTAGACTATCCAAGCGTTTTGTGAAGGAACCAGAACATTTCTCAGCTTAGGTGTCCTCGGTTGACGGGGGTGCATGACCGCAAGCAGTCGGGCCTGCCGCCCTCACTTAGGGATGACCAGCTGTGGCGTTTCCAGCTCCCAAGTCCACCTGGAAGGACTTCAGTTCCAGACCGATGGGGCTTGGCCTCCCTAACTCAATCTTTAAAATCAGAGAGACACACTTGTAGTTATACAGTGATTACTGTAAAACACCAGTGATATTGAGGCTTACTATGAACATCAATTACAAATGGCTGTTGGTTCTTTGAAGGGAGGGTCTTGTTATGCACACACACAAACACACACACGTTTACAGTTTGTCTGTTTAAGCAGCGAGACCCTCCTGCAAGGTAGAAGTAGGGGTGTTTGGTGACTTAAATAATGTCTTAACCTTTCTCGTGTGTGCAGACTGACTGGCTCCAGTGTTCCTGACCTGATCGTGAGCATGAGCAACCAGATGTGGCTACATCTGCAGTCTGACGATAGCATTGCCTCACCAGGATTCAAAGCTGTTTACCAAGGTATGGCCACGCACTGCCAGCATTAAACTAGCATTCCTGCAGAGGGCAAGCATTTGGTGTGTGTGAGATATAAATAGAACTGATATGGCAGAACAGGGTTTAAAAAAACAGGGACTCATTATTTGCACCTTCCTTAAAGTCCCAGTTAATAGTTCTTTTTTGCGAAGAATTTTTAACGTTTTGAAAGCTTGGTTGGCCATGCTGCATGCCATTATTCTGTCAAATGTGAAGACTAAGAATAAAACGTAAGCTGTGAAAGGTGTGCAGACTTATGGGTCTCAGGGATCATGGTTGTGCTTCCTGAGATGGAGTTTTTTGCTTATAAATAAGGGGAACATGAACAAAGCATAGATTTGAGTGGCATCCATTCAGTTAAGCTCTGTTATATACAACATCGTATACAAATGCCTGTGTGTTCTTAGTGGAAGATGGCGAAATCTGTGTGAAATTAGAAGACAACATTACTACCAGGTATTCGTGTAGGGGAGATGTGAACCCGGTTTCAGGGCTACGGTTCTGGGAGAGGTTGGCTCGTCTCCGAGGAGCTGCCACGGGCCCAGGTTCACGGTGGGACTCTGACAGTGGTCTCGCCACATGGCTGCACGTGCACCGTCTCATTGGGGAGGGGCTCCTATGGAACAGGAGTCTTCTAACCATGCTTAGGTTCTTTCCGTAAGCAGGTTTCAGAATTCTAAGGAACTAGCCATTTGGGAAGTACTGTCATGCAGTAAAAATGGTGATTATTCCATTTGGATTGTTCGACTGTAGGGGAACTGTGAAAAACAAATAATGAATTAATTTGCAAGTTGAGAGGAAAAATTATGAAACTGACCCGTGGCAAAAAAATTACCAGTTATCTTTTCAATGTCTTGCACATTCTTCCTGCTTAACTGATTTCTGTCCTGGTCTCGCCTTTCACTTAACTGTGCGCTATTGTACGATTCGGGAAGTTGTAGAAAACTGATAGCCATGTAGGTGGTTCCGAGCCATAGAACTGCAAGTGAGTCCTGTGTGGAGGACGTGCACTGGCTGGTGCCTCTGCTGGCAGACTCATTTCTGTTTTCTCACTGTCCATGTGTGTGTGCTTTGGCCTCTCCTTTGAAACAGTTTTCAGACTATCTTACTGGTTCCCTCCTTGATGACTGAGTTCACAATAACCTTTCACATGACAGATGTGTGTGTTTACAGGTGAAAACCAGCGACACAGATCTGAAGATGCAGGATTTTAGTTTCTTTGATTTTCCTTCGATTTTCTTACATACAGAGACAGTGGTCTTGTTTTCCAGGTTTGTACTGTACAGAATATTCATGAGCCGAAAACAGGTAGCAAGAAGTTTGCCTATCAAGCAAATGAGGCAGGCAATTAAAAAGCATCTGCTGACCCCCAGACAGTTAGCACGGGGGAGACAGTGTCACAAGTGTGTGTGTGTGAACACACCGCAGCGTGGCTGTGCTGTCTGCCCTGGGTGCTGCACTCAGGGTGCCAAGGACCCGGTTGGCATTAGTGTCCCCACCTGGAAAGTGTGACCAGTTCCACCTTGCTGGAAACATGGGGTGACAGGGGATTGATGGCTCTTTTTAACAAAAAATGCTACAAAAAAAAATGGTATTTCCATCCCTTCTGAAGTCTAGGACTAGAATGCAGAGATAGTTGCTGACTACTTCCTGACATTTGGATATTTAGACTTAACCTTTAGTTGAGCTTCTACATGACTACAGTTATTCAAGAAAGCATGGTAGAGGTGTGATCCTTTCCCCATGGCCTGTACAACCTGCTGCCTATGACGAAACCAGAAAGCATCGGGGACACACCAAGTGCTTCCCCACAGGGCAAATGGTAGCGAATTCACTCCAGCGGGATTAAGACACACATCACAGGGCTTGTCTCCTGAGGACTAGCGAGACGGGCATAGTTGCTAAATCATGATCCTTCGCTGTTAAGGGATGTAAGTATTCTCAGTAAGAATGAAAATGTTCTTAAAAGTGTCCTATTTTAGTTTGAATGACCATACAGTGTTAATTATAATTACACTGAACTCTCATCATTGCTATATTAGACTCTGTAGTCTATTAATACCTGCAGGTTGAGTTGCCATGGAAATGGGGACGACCATCAGTCCCAGAGAGATTGCTGACGCAAGGCTGCATATTACCTTTAAACAAAATGATATTCTGAAGTTAAAAAGATAATTAAAACAGAGAACTAACATAAGATTTGAGGATTTCAAAAACTGAGAAAGGAAGACTTTCTAGAAATTGGTACTCCCAGAGTAATGTATCATGTTAGCAATTGGAGATAAAATCATTTATAAAGATGGTTATTAAACATATAAATAATTGATTCATTTGACTTAAACCATAGTGGTTTGTGAATTATGTTGTCAGAAATAGATATAGCTGCTATTTACATATGGCTTAATGTTACAGGATTTAGTATTACATGATTTTAGCTGGTACATCGTGTAGCGGTTAAGAACACAGGCTCAGAAGCCAGACCACCCAGAGTACCAGCTCTGCTGGCCACTCAGTAGGTCACTCAGGACAAGTGTTCACCCTACGTGTGCGAGGTGGTGGGTAGGGCTGGATAGTAGTAGCATCGGCTTCACAAGCCTGCTGTCCCTTGGATGACTGAAACCATGGAATACCCATAGCACATGGAGTAAGAGATGCTACCATTGTTTGCATGTACATTTTCCTTTTTGATTTTGAGATTTCTCTACAAGTAAGATTTTTTTCATTATATGAATATTAGTGCTCATAGTAGAACATGTAAGAATTTTAAGTGTCCCTTCTCTTCACCTTCTGACTTGGCCAGGTGATTTGCTCAAAGACAATAGCTTTCAACAATTTCCTTACCTTCCCTTCTAGAATTTTCAATGCTTCTAACAGCATACCTGAAGCTTCATTTTATCTTAGTCTACGAACTGCAGAAAAAGGTTGATGTGCAAGAAATGTCACACTATCTAACTTTAAAGTCAAATCGAATTTCCTTCGGAGTCTCCATCCTAACAAAGTGGCAGTGAACGTAATCTCAGGCATGATGGGAGCGGCCCCACACCTCCCCTTACCTGTCTACTTCTGTCTCACCAAGATGCTGAGGGTTCCCTATGCTTTGTGAGGGATTCACAGGCTTTGGGTTCCTCAGACATTTGGCTCACACTCCTTACCCTGAGGCATCCGTGGTCTAAGCTGCTGGGCACCGCCGCCCCTCCCAGCAGCTCCCTAGTGGATCCCCTGCTGGCTACCTCTCCTCTGGCACGTGGGGATGGGGAGCGGCCCAGGGGAGAACTTGGGGCCCATGCCGCCCCTGTGCGTGACCATCACCCACGCACCCCCTCTCGGGTGCGTCTGGGTTCTCTCTGTTTGCTCCTGCCCTTGACCGTCTGAGATGCGTGCCTCTCACCTGCACTCAGGATGCCCACGTAGGGGGCTCAGTGGACTTCTCCTTTGTAAGAGGAGTTTGCGCGGCGGCGGCCAGGGTGAGGAAGCGCAGGGGAGCGCTGGCTGCCCCTGGGAAGCACAAGGCCTAGTGGGGAAAGCGGGGGAATCTCAGGGACAGAAGGAGCAGAGAGAAATGTGAACTAATAATAAATCATCTTACGCATATAAATAACTATATATATCTTTGAAGAGAGAGAGAGAACGTGCTCACTGATAATTTGCTGCAAGAAAAGCATGGGAAAAATTATGCAAAGTTTAAAAAATGAGAACTCTTTATGGAGACATGAGATGTTGAGTAAGTAATGGGGGGTGAGATTTGTTTAAAATCTTTTTACACATCATAATGCTTAATCCAGAATAATCTATCCCAAAACCCAAAAGGAAAAAAAGAAGTATGGTGTAAATAATTATACTACAACTGTATATGTTAGTACTATACTTCTATTAAACAAACTATAAAAATCTGAGTATATAAAAATGTAAATCATAACGTTATGTATACACCCATAATTTATAAATACATAAATCATATATATAACTCGGGTATAAGTCATATATATATAATTCATATATATGTATAATTCATACATGTAATAATTATCAGAACAATATATATGGAAAACTCAGTAGGCTTTCCACTTATACTTTAGAATTCTTATTGTAAGTTACAAAAGTGACTCCGGGGGATCAAAAATATTGGTTTTTTTGTAAAACAATCATGGATTTAATAATACAGCAGAATTCTTGTTAAAATAGTATAATTTGATACAGCCAGAGATTATATACACATCTAAAATAAAATATGCAATATATATCACAAGCGGATCATTTGTATCCACTAAAAGAGAAAGGGAAGAAATGACTATTCTCAGTCCGAGGAAGAGCATGCCCATGACCACCGCCCCCTCCTGTGCTGAGGATGCCAGCAGCAATGGGGCGAATGCCGGGTGTTTCTCCTGACGGCCAGGGGTTTGTGGTGCTTGTAGGCCTGCGTCTTTATGGCTTTACAGTCTACAGTTAAGTGGGTTAACTCGGGGTCATTTTTGCTCACAACACTAATGTTCAGTTAGAATTCATCACCCATGTTGATGAACTTCATTTCCGCAGACCATGTTTCCCATAATTTGCCTTAGCTATTTAAATTTTAGCAGGGGGTAGATGAAAGGAAATGTTCCCCATGAGGCACCACCATGTAGTAAAACAAGACCTATTTTAGGCTCACGCTAAGAATTACAACAGCAAAATATTTAAGTTCTGCATCACTACCTCATACCAGAAACTGAATTGTCTCCTTGTCCAGTGAACACATTGGCAACGGGGATGTGTGAAGATCATGTGAGGCACCTTCACCTGTGATAAATAAACGTCTCTGCGTCTGTGATGAGTGGAAAGGGCTGCTCTGTGTTGCAGTGGGTAGAGGGGTGCAGCTTAGCTCACACATCAGCATCTGTGTGCCACTCCTGGTAATTGAAACACTGATTCAGCATCAACCTTGTAAATCTTTGAGGTACTTGTGGTGCGGATGTTTATAGATCAGCTTGACTGGACCATGGGGTGGC